AAAAAAAAAAAAAAAAACTATTTCAAAAAGTTAAGAGCCTGTTTGGTGCGTATTAAAATAAGAGAATGTATTTTTTTAAAGTGATGTAATGGGGAATATGTGGTTGAAAATGAAGGAAAAATTATTGATGTGATGTAAAATATTATTTTGGCCCTGTTTGGGAGGAATTTAGAACTTTTTTTTTACAGTAAATCAATTCTCATTTTTAATTACACATTCTTCAATAAAATAATATTTTTCATCACATCAATAATTTTTTCTTCTTTTTCAATCACACATTTCCCATCATATCACTATTCAAAATCAATTCTTCACCCAAAAATTCTCCCAAACAAGCTCTTTATTAAATAATATGTGGTTGAAAATGAGTAGAAAAATGAGAATAAAAAAATAATGTGAGTCAAACGGGTGCTAAAATCTCAAATTAATGGGATCAAACAGGACTAAACAAATAAAGAAAAAGAGGCACTCTTTACTTTTTTAATGGTCAAATCTAACGACGTGGCCAAGTTGAAGCCATAAACATTATCCTTCCAGATATTTTGTGCCACTACACATTTATATCTATCTCATTTTGTGTATTTACAATTTGCATCCTCAAATTACAAACTATGTCCAAAATAAAGCAATGATGTTTGATCACTTGTGTCTCTGTTCGACGAGTGAATCTTACTGTCAAGTTTTCACCTAACTTTACACTTGGAAGCCAATATTCCTCTTGTGCACACTTGCATTATCTCTTCGAGGGAACGTGTATCTAAGAATGTCCTTGATCCATAATAATACCACTTATGACTTGAGCCCCAAAAGAAGCATTTCTTGCCTTCCATGCAAGTTGAGCAAGAAAATGTTCAAACCCAATCTTCATCCTAGAAAACAGTGAAGTTTCGTAAGGTCTTTCTAACTCGTTAATTTACGTCTTCACGGAGATGTCTATGTCATCGAACATTTCGATTGAAATCAAGTTGCGTTTCATAGCTAATCGTATTAATGAACTAATATTAGTTCTTCATTTCAAAAATTGATAACTTTTGAATTACGCTATGAAATAGGTGGATATTAGGAATTCTTATTTCAAATATGGTTGGACTATTAACATTATTTTTTAATGGTAAAAGATTTAAAATTTATATTTCTAAATATGCCTCCATTTTGCTGGAGCTTATTAAATATGATAATTATCTGCAAAGCGGGGCTCATGTTTCTTTCCTCAATAGGACATTACAAGTTATTGTTGCAAGAGAGATGACTCCATCTTGCCAACAAGTTTTCAATTTGAGGTGTAATTTGTCATTTTTGTGTCTTAGGAGCTATATTGCAAAGTTGGTTCAAAGTTGTGGTGCAAATTGCAATTCTTGAAGTTTTTACATAATACCCACTCGCATAATGATTACAAGAAATTAGAGCCATCACATATGGGCAGTTGAAAAATCACCGTTGGATCAAATTCAACAAATGGGCCTTCCATTTTCAGATATTTTAGGTTGAAAATGCCGTAAAACGACTAGCAGAAAGAGGAAAACTAGTACCTTTGCTTCTTCTAAGGCATAATAATATAGGTTTAACTTCTCTAGTTAATTCCACGTGCCCATTCTTCAAAGAATCGGGAGAAAAATCTTGAAAATGGGAGAAATTTTGGCAAGCTATGAAGATGGAACGGTATTGGAAGTGAAAGGAGCAGAGCAGAGTAAGGGCGCAGGGCAAGGTGAAGTCGCAGCTCCACCGTCTGCGGTGGTGGAGGGAGCGGCGGAGGTGGATCCTTCTGTTGTCAGATGGGAGAAGTATCTTCCAAAAATGGTTATGAGAGTGCTGTTGGTGGAAGCTGATGATTCTACTAGGCAGATTATTACTGCTCTTCTCAGAAAATGCAGTTATAAAGGTTGGTTAGAAATTTCATGTTTTAATTGAATTTTTTGTTTGAAAGTTTGTCTTCTGGAACATATTTTTATTCGTTGTACTAGGAATGGAATCCTAGTTTCGTCTGTAAATAAAATGGATGCTTTGTTTTTCAGTTAATTCATCAGTTTGTCTTTTAGATGAGGATTTCAGTTGTGATATTTGAGTGTTTTGGCTGCAGTAGAACTGATTAGAACATTAAAAGTCATTTTTCGTCTTGAGTTTATAAGGAAATTAGGCTGAGCATTTGAGATGGAATCTCTAATTTTAAGAAGTGGTGCCCAGAATTAGCTGATTGGATCCGTAAGACGACTCTCGAGATGTCAACGGAAGATATGAACGAAGTGCTGACCCGAATTAATTGCAATGGCTGGTGAATTCCGTGGTTCGTTTCAAAGCGGTTGCGTTCACTTAGGGTGGCGGCCCTCGATGCAGTGGAAAAGTTGGGCATCGATGTAGCGTTCGATCCATAGTGGTTTGAGAATGATGAACGGATGGATAGACCATCAATTGAAAGGGGAGAAACGCGGCACTTGGTTTCAGGGCAAATAGAAGTCCCACCTCAACTACATAATGGGATAGGCTCGAGTTTATAAGAAAAATGGGATATTTTTCCTAATAGGTTAAACTTTTGAGATGGAATCCTAAACACAAAATGTAGTAAATGGAGTTGCTGCATGAGCAGGATAAATTAGCTGAACTCACACTTTCCAAATCGTAATTTTTCCATTTGAAAATATTCTTTGAAGAATTTTACTTGAATATATTTCAGAGTACATCATAAATTTAGTCGTACTGTTAATGTTAGAGACTGCTTTTCCTTTTGGCAGTTACTGCAGTTCCTGACGGCTTAAAAGCATGGGAGGTACTAAAAGAAAGATCCTGTAACGTAGACCTCATTTTGACAGAAGTCGAACTACCATCAATCTCTGGATATGCTCTTCTTTCGTTAATCATGGAGAACGATATCCGCAAAAACATTCCCGTGATAAGTATGATACACATTCAATATGCTCGATCTACATTAACTTAGTTAATTATGGCTATTAAAATTCCGAATATCTGTTCTCTATGATGCAGTGATGTCGTGGCATGATTCTCTTAGTACAGTCTACAAATGCATGTTGAAAGGTGCTGCCGATTTTCTTGTGAAGCCTGTCAGGAAAAATGAGCTGAGGAACTTGTGGCAACATGTTTGGAGGAGACGACCCGTAAGCCTAATCCTCTTCCCTTCTCCAACATATTACTCTGTTCCAATGTCATAATAAAGTACAATAATTCTCATAGAATGTTGTCTTATTATGTACTATGACGTCAGTCAAGTAGTGGTGATATTGGACTGCCAGATGATAGCATTGAGCAACGAAAAACAGAAGCCACCGCAGAGAATAATGCTGTCAGTAATAATTCCGGTGGTTCAACGGCACACATTCAGAGGAATAGGGAATGCATTGAGAAAGGAAGCGATTCTCAGGTAATGTTTGGGCATTCAGTATCAGTGGAAAAGATCGTTTATACCTTATAGCAGTGCATTTTTTTCTTTCGTCCCCTTGGAGGCAAAACTTGATGAGCCTATGTCTAGGCATGGACGAGACATTTTTTATGTTGTTAGGTACTAAAAGACATGAATAAATTTACCCAATTTTGTCTTATCTGCAGAGCTCATGTACAAAGCCAGAGCTTGAGACCGAAGGAGCAGATGTTGAGCATCTGCAAGGACTCACACAACCAAAAAGGATTAAAAATCTTTCGAATGACAAAAATGTACCAACAGAAGGAGAATATCATCAAGAAAACAAGAATTTGCTTATGGCTGATGCTGATACCGGAGGTAATATTCTAATGGCTTGTTTGGTAACATGGACTATGAAATCTTGTTTAGTGCATTGTCCATTCTATCAATATCGTGTCAATAATTTTTTTCAGCTTTGAGATAAAAAATCAACACTTTTATGTCCTGTCATAACAGAAATGGGATCACAGGCTGTTGCGTGCGTAGATGCCAATGCAGTAACTCGAGGAGAAGATAGAGATTATGAAGATCATCTGGACCATGTCAATGTCATTAGTGAAGCTTCTGAGAATAATCATGTCCCAGTGAATTCTTGTAGTACCATTGACTTAATGGGAGCTTTTGATAGTTACCTCAAAGGCACTTTTAGAAGTTTAGCTTCTAATGCTAGTACAAGCAAGATCGACTTTTTGCCGCTATTGGATCTTTCCTTGAGAATATATCATCCCAACGGCTTTGTGAATCAAGCAAATGATGACAGGCCTATTTTAAACCACTCGGATGCATCAGCCTTTTCTCGGTGAGTTTCCAATGCTTGGTCCTTAATTGTTTGTCTATCACTCTCTCTGTTGTTCTTACTTACTTTTTCCAAGGAATTTAAGCCTTTATTTTATGACAATTCCTTTCAAAGAAAAAGGTGTATTCTTCTATGCCCTCTCCAAAAAAAGAGGAGAACCAAGGGTGTTCACAAAAAAGAAAAAGAGAACGAAACATTGTGCAATTTACAACCTTTGGTTTTGGAGAAAAATGCTTTTGAATTTCTTACATTCATTCTATTTATTCTTATTGTATTTTATGAGGCTCCCCTTTAATTTTGGTGTAACCTTGTTAAACATTTGATGATTTGTGATGCTTATCTATTGAAACAAAAAAAATGCAGGTATGTTAACAAGCCATTGCAGTCCAACTATTCGACATCACCTAGCACTCGTGATCAACAGAAAGACCAAAAAACCAATTCTGATAAACAATCCTATCAAACCCTTGATCATAACTCTGATACACACGGTCCAACCTCTTGCCCTCAAAAACAGGTCACCCCAGCAACACGCCAACCTAAACAGGCCGAAATTACGTTACCTTATCATCAGCAAACAGGATTGCCCCAAACAACCCCGATTAGAGGTGCAAGGATTGAAACTCTAAGCAATGGATACGGTTCTGCAATGCCTCCAGTTTTTTGTATACAATCAGGCCAGTCCCCACAGCAGAGTCCAGGTACAGTGGGATCTATCGAATCTTTGCCTCCACTGAATCCATATTATCAATTAAATCATCAAAACGGAAGTTCTCAGCATTTTCAGAACATGGATAGAAGGATCGATGATGCCACCAATCAGGCACATAACAAACTGGGGCCCACATTGGAAGATTGGGGACACAAGTCTTCAGCCACAGATCAGAGTGAAAATAGCAGTTTCTGTAATGGTCCGAGTCACCTTCACAGCATAGATTCAGGAAGCAATGGCAAAATCAATGCAGTTTCAGATGTTAAAGCCTCGTCAGAACGTGGCAATGAAGAAGGGTTCATTGTACACGAGGGAACCTCTCATCGATCTGGACAAAGAGAAGCAGCTCTAACAAAATTCCGTTTGAAGAGGAAAGATAGATGCTTTGACAAGAAGGTATCATGATATTTTCATCATCATTATACCTATTTCATTTTAATATTTAAGGCTTATTACATACTTCTCTAATATGTTTTTGGCAAATCAAGTACACCAATTCAAGATTTATCAAAAATCAATTATGTTTTCATGAGTTGCATGCAGATTTAAAATTTGTGTTGAGATTTACAGATCATAATAATCAGAATCCAGACTCCAAAAATCAGAATATATAATCACGTGTAACATTTTGATCAACCCAGTATACATAGAATTTCTATTCTCTCACCGAAACATCTACGTAGTCATTATGATCGATAATTCATTTTTTTAATCGCCATATGTTCAATTCTCACACTTTTCATACATGTATTGTGAGCAACATTTAAATTAAGTTTGTGTGATGAATCATTGTTCGCCTTTGTTGGCAGGTGCGATATGAGAGCAGAAAAAAGCTTGCTGAGCAGCGTCCACGGGTGAAAGGACAGTTTGTTCGACAACTGCCCAATGATCCTCAGCCAGGTGACTCATCTACTGGTTAGCTATTATGAACGGAAGGTCGTATCCAAGACAGGGAAAATACCAAACTAGTTTTGGCACAAGTAACGTAACTGATAGCTTTTCATTTGGTTTGGCTTCCAGTCTTGAGCTTCAAGTAACAAATCAAGACACAGAGGTACGAGGATGTCTAATGTATCTACTACCAGTTCCCTGCTCAACCAATAATGACTAATCGCCTTGTAATCTTTGTATATTACTATTCAATTTTAGGATTTTCTATGTTTTTTTTTTGTGAGAACCATTTCCCTTTTTGTTCAATGAGTAGAAGTAACTAAGTATGTGTTTCGAAAAGAACATCGGTTTTTTCAAGACCTCTCATTTGAAGGTGAGGATAAACTGGAAAAAAGGCTCTGATTTTGTTATTTTCAGAGACACCCGTGAACGTGCTTGATTCGATCATGTTCCCGATGCTTGAATGACTGAGCAATTTTGTGTTGGTGCCTTCTGACTGTATGACATAATTCAAGCACACATAATGTTCTTCGATTGTACTTATCTCCTAACCCAAGGACATGTTAGGCACATATTACTAGACACGACTCGACTCGACGGGGTTAAGGAAGGAAAAAAATAGTTCTAGTCTTGTCCTACCAAACATGCCTAGCACCACGATAAATATTTGTTGACAGGTGCAGAAATTTGATAAAAATACAGCCTGGCATTGTGTTAGAATTTCTATATTCTTCAATCATTTTGTCTTTTTTCTTGAAAGGGATGTTTTGAGTTATGAGGACATTTTAGAAAGATTGTGACTATTAGGAAAGCTTTTCACCTTTCAATGTTTGTAAAAGTATTGTGTATTGTACATGACTAGATTGTATGACGAACAAATATTTAATTGTTTTTCTTTGTTAATTATATCCAGTTCAGTATACCAAAGATGCTGTTTGTTTTTGTATCATTTACAAAAAAAAAAAAAAAAATTGAGATCAAAATTGATGCGATCTTGTGACTGTCTCTGCGCCAAATATTATGAATAATTGGAAAATTCACACGTACATTAACCTCGTAACAAATCTAAGACATGATCCCTTGGTTCATAATCACGATAAAAAGGACAAAAAAAAGGAAGGGTCAGATGATAAGTCAATCAAAATAATGGGGTAGATCATCTTTTTCTTAAATGATGTTCAATAACTGAAATTTCAAATGGATTTTGCTTCCCAGACTGTAATATTCTTTTCAAGATCCCCAACCCTGCATAGGCTTCGTTCAAGTATTATATAGTCGACGTCACCAGCAAGCAATAAACCTTTTCTTAAATCGGAAGTTAACCACTATTTGGGACACACTCAACCCCAGTGGCTCCCATAAAGTCAATTTCTCAGATTCTCTGCTCTTCCTTTTGAGCTTTTTTCTGCAAAGCATAACAAATTCAAATACACCAAGACTGATTACAAATAATTTAAACATTTCTACAAAGACTTCATCTCAAATTTTGCAGTTAATCATCATACTTCACTCCAATGAATGGGAAAGGCAAATGCCTATCCTATTTCTTGAAAAAGTGTTCAACTTTTCTTGCAATAATTGTACAGTTTTTCCCATCAGATTCCTCTGTGATGGATACCCTTGGCTGCAAAAAATTAAATCTTCAAGATATACTTGTAAATTCTATTAGATGACAGTAAGCATGCATATTCATGAATCAAAAAGGGGTTTTTCCTTCTTATTGAGCAAAATAATTGCCGCTTTATGGGTTCGAGAATCCTTTATTAACCATATCATTTCGGCTTCTCTGTTTACTGAGTACTCCCCCATCTCTGCTCTGCAAATGTCTCAAATTCTTGAAAATTCTCCCAAACACTGTGCCAAGCAAGGACTCAACTTCAAGAAATTCAACAAGAGGCTCTTCTTTGCTTTCTCTACCTTTCTGCTTACAGTTTTATCATTCATCTTGCTAATTTGGCTCATCCTACACCCAACAAAGCCCCAGTTTTCTCTCAAAGAGGTTGAAATCAATCAACTCAACCTCTCAGGTCCCTCCCTTCTCAACTCCTCAGTTGAGCTCACTCTCCTATCCAACAATCCAAACAAGAAAGTCGGGATTTATTATGATGAGCTACAAGTATGTGCATCTTACAAGGGTCAAACAATTACTCTCGATACTTCTATCCCTCCTTTTTACCAAGATCATGAAGAAACAAATTACCTGAGTGCGTCTCTGGTTGGATATCAGCAACCTGTAGCTCCGTCCTTCGCTTACGATGTCGGGCGCGACCAGAGAACCGGAAAACTGGTTTTGACTGTCAAGGTAATTGGAAAGCTACGATGGAAGGTCGGGACTTGGGTTTCTGGGGTGTATAGGATTAACGCGAACTGTTTAGTTATCATGCCATTTGGACCTATACCATCTCCTCCCCTAAGTTCCAAAAAAGGGACACGATGTTCAACTACCATTTGAAGCATCTCATGGTAAAAAGTAAAGTGATTTTCTGTATATATAGCATAATATCCACATATTCAACAAGGAGATGCACTCAATACCTAAATTGGAGAAACCTTCGTGCTCAGTGTTTGTTTCAGAATTTCTTATATGAAATCTTGTCTTGAATTATACTACTACATGGAATATATTGTGATCATGTAAGTGTTTATTTTCTGATATAACATAAAACTAGAATTAAAAAACTTCAGAAGACAACTAATTCAACCTTCTTCCCCATGAATAATTTTTTCAGAAATAAAAATAGCAGGGTTGAATTGTTTCTTGTTACAATTTCACACCTTTCTGAAGGAAAGATGGCAGTCAAACTTCACATTCACATATGTTCTGCGCTTATGTGTAGGGAGATCAAAGTCCAAAGATGTATAATCATTGAAGAGATTACGCAAACGAAAACTAACCACTTAATTAGAATCAACTGGTCAACTAACGCCCCAAATTTCAAAGAAACCACGAGTGTTACTAAATTTTTCGATAGAAACAAACCGATAATGTTCATAGAATTTCGGTTATGCAAGAAACGAACTTATTTATTAGTGGCCTGAATTATGCAAATTAAAATCTCCCATTTAATTAGAATCAACTTATTGAACTGATTAAAACCGACTCGTGAACCTGAACTGATTAAAATCTCCTGCAACTTGTTTGAAGATGCAACATCGATCCAATCAGGCTGTGCGGAAGACCACTGAAGCTGATTAATCTCAGCAAAAGCAGAATACAGTATCAAGAGGGATCAATTCCATTAGGCAACTCCTAGATAAATGCCTGCGCATCATCCCCAGCCCAGCAGATATGCCTGCAACTCTGGGGAGCCAATGATATCGCATTTGCACTGGCCTGATGCCTGTCCAATTCTGCCACAGGCATTGTGAGGTATCTAATGTCCAATATCACAAGCTTATGTTGTGGCCACGTACCTAAAATCATGCTTATTCCAAGCCAACCTCAACAATAGAGTATCCGGCTGTGTGCTCTCGTCAATAATAGTTGAATATAATGCTCCTTATCCTTCAAGTCAAAAGTTCTCACGAACCATCAGCTGAAACCGAGGCAAAAACTCTTGATCCACACCAGGGAATGTCATAAACCTCTTTATTGTAGGCTATCAATTGGGTTTCCAACGCACCCGTCAATATCCCATATCGTATAAGTGGTGCCAACGCTGGACGTGCAAATCCTCCGTGGCTCCACCTCATTCCAATCAAACGAGGTTAAGGGAGCGCAGAAATCACTAGTTTGCTAATGTCCAGGGTATGAATTGGCTCGATGAAGGCTTCTCGGAGTTCCGGGAGGCGGAGATAGTCCCCGGAGGAGGCGAGGAGGTTGGCAGCGGTGGTAGGGGCGGGGTGTGAGCTTGGTATGGGGCTGAGGGTCTTAGAAGAAGAGGGAAGATAGGGGGCTTGAGGGATTTGGTTTTGGCATCGAAGGAAAGAATGTAAACCAGGTTGTTGAATTCTTCGAAGCTGCCTACAGCAATGCTGATGCGGCGGAGGTGGTGGTAGAAACTGCCATGGCTTAAATGTGGTAGGGGGAGTCAAAGGTGATGCAGTCTTCCGATCGGAGGTGGGATCCTTGGTCGAATTTTCCATTTTTGCGGTAAAATTAGGTGAATTTCAGCCTAATAAACTGGAATTGACCGTCGAATTTTCATATTGTCGTCTACAATTTTAAAATCCACTTTTCAGTTCGTCCATAAAAACAACAAAAAACGACAATCTTAGGGGGAAAAAAAATCTTGTGCAAGTATGCAAACAGAGTTTATTCCATTATATTTCCTTTGATCAAACCAAACCAAAATACATTCCCCGTATGGCCACTCGTGTAAGAACAACAACAAAATACAACCTCATAATCCACAAAGGTTTCAACTTCACTTCAAAAGTTCCATGATCCATGAATTAAATGCACAGCAAACCTTTCGAAAATCCCTAAATCCAGCCCCTTTAGCCAATGCCTTAAATTCTTTTTCTGTCCTCTCTTTCCCTCCTGGATTGTGTGCCAACATAATCACATCAATATGGACAACATTCTTAGTTGCAAGTCCCGTGTCTGGTGCCTCTGGGAGAATGCATTCAGCCAATATGACTTTCCCATTTTCAGGAAGTGCTTCGTGGCATTTCTTCAAGAATTTCAGGCAGTGTTCGTCGCTCCAGTCATGACAAATCCACTGCAAAATCGTAAAAAATTCAAGAAAATGTTAATGTCGTGTATGATTCGCATGCATGAATGATATAAGCAAGTTTTGATTGGTTTTGCTTGTAGAATCAACGGAGGGTCGAATAAAAGGGGTCAATGAGGTGGGGATCAATTGAACTCACCTTCATGAAGATGGCATCTCCTTTAGGCACACTAACAAACATGTCTCCACCAACATGCTCCACTCCTACATATAGCCTAAGTTAGTGAATTGACCAAATAAAACGAAATAAGAAGAGAAGCCACCAGCGACTATATAAAGCATATTCGATACACAGTATTGAACATGACCCTTTTCTTTTCCGTTGATATTAATTGACCTTAAAAAAGTAGTCTGTGAAGAGAAAGACCTTGATAAGACGGAGCGTCTTCGATAACATGGGGTAAATCAAAATTAATACCCTTGATGGAGGGATGCTTTGAAACTATCATATTAAGTGTTGCACCAGTTCCACCACCAACATCCACAATGGACTTGAGGCCCTCAAATCCATTATATGTCTCTAGAATTTTCTTCATAGTGATTGTAGAATGATTAGACATTCCTTGGTTGAAAACCTTGTTAAATCTTGGATCAGTACCATGATAATCAAATGCTGTCATTCCATATGCTTTATTGAATGGAATTCCTCCATCAAGAACTGCATCCTTTAGATAGTACCTGTAATACAAGAATGAAGAAACTAATGAGGTAAACCATTAGCACATAGGGTTCCTTAATCCTCGGTGAAATGGATTGGTTGAACCATGTTACTTAAAAGTTTAAGTTGATAAAGAACACAAGGTCTGATCGTTTTTCCATTAATTTGACCTACTCGACTCGACTCGACAGTGATAATTACAAAATGTCAATTGATAATGTCTCAGTCATCTAACGCGGCTAGAGGAGTTGGTGGTGTAGTAGGTAGAACCAAAGAACTTTCTAAGACAGGGTCCACCTAGTGCCTTAATTTGCAATGGTTTCTTTCAACGTACCAAATAGAAAAAATAAAATTAAAATGAGTATTAAATCAAAAATCGTTTACTAAAATTCAAATAAAATCAGTTCTAAGCGCACACCTTTTAATGGATAATTTCCACTTCACCCCGAACCTACGTAAAATTGGTACTTGCCATGACAATTTTGAAGAAGACCTTCTATGAACACAACAACTCTCTCTAAAATTTATTATCAAATACTAAAAGAAATTTTTAATCACAATTACATTTTCCGTTGTTTCATCGGGAATTTGGAGGCTATTGGTACACTAAATCGTTGGCCGGATTGAGTAGTTTTTTCTTGTCAACTTCTCACGGGACTCTCTATGACTATTAAAACAAGTTTGTTTGTTTGTTTCTCGTTCTGAGTTAAAACATTATCGATTAGATAACATTATCTAATCAATCATGATACATATCATGTACATTTGATTTTATATTATTTTTGACATTCTACCTCGTGCTCAACACATTTTGCATTCGCACACGATATAAAAAAAGATGTGCACTATGCAATGTACACTTATTTTAATACTATAAACACGCAAATGGAGAATAGGGATAATTAGATTATAATGGAAGAGAAGTTACCAGCTCTCCATGAGGATCTTATCCTGGTTCATGAGCAACAAAGGGGCCATGGAAACACCATCTTCATTCTTGGTCAAGAACTTGCACACCGGCGCAAGAGAGTACAACCTCTCAACGCCGCCGTCCGGCAGGGTTTTCTGGTTGCAATTCAGGACAGAATAGCAAGCGAGTAGCCGGAGAATCCTGTCCAGCATGATTTTCGACTCCGGGTTCTTCGTCGGAATCTGTTCAGAAAGTTGTGCAGGAGAAACAAACGCACCAGGGCCTGCCTTTTTAATGAGTTCAAGAAGGTCTAGTTCAATGGCGGATTTAAGCACCATAGGAAGTACAGAAGCACTTGCCAATTGGATGGCAAATAAACAAGCTTCTTCTTCAGATGAATCCATTTGGGTTTAGTGAATTTTAGAGTATTTTTCTGAGGGTTTTCGTGAGAAAAATAGGAGCCAGAATGAGGATAATTGGGGGTGGTGGAGTGGTATATATGATGCTTTTTGGGCTCACCATCCTATTGGTTGCACCCTACATTAGCCCCCACCATGAGCGGTGTGGGTGGCAGCATGTGGGGCAGCTGACCCCACAAAAGAAAACTTGACTTTTTTGGTTTTGAAATTTTTTTTTTTTTTCAGGTTTTGTTATATGTGACACTCTGTGCACAAGCTCCCTCACAAAAGGACTGCATGCGATTTTTTTTTTATTGGACATGGCCCCTATTGCGAGGGATGTGTATAAGGGTATGTTTTGAAAGAATGTATTTTGGAATAATAGATTTATAAAGAATGTATGATTGAAAAAAAAAAAAAAGTTATTGAAGTGATAAAAATATTATTTATTGAAGAACATGTGATTAAAAATGAGTAAAAGAATGAAAATGAAAATTTTAATGTGATTCAAACAGAGACTAAATAACGAAATCTTTTTTCTCTATCCTTTTCTTCTATGTGAATTAGGGTTGTTTCTTGGATAAGAATGAGTTTTTGATGAAATTTTAAATATCTTATGGCTTGATGGATGGATAGATACACCAAGCCCCTGTTTGAGCCACATTATTTTTTCTTTCTCATTCTTTTACTCATTTTCAACGATACATTTTTTAATAAAATAATATTTTTTATCACATCAATAACTTTTTCTTCTTTTTTACCACATATTTCTCATCATATCACTTCAAAAAAATGCATTCTCTCATTTTAATGTGCACCAAACGGGCTCCAATATTGATTCCAAACTCATAGGTTCTCTCATCTCCTACGTGTTAATTTTCTCATACACTCTTTTTTCTTTATATTATATATAGCCCATGTTTGAGTCACGTTATTTTTCTCATTCTCATTATAGGAAGTACAGAAGCACTTGCCAACTGGATGGCAAATAAACAAGCTTCTTCTTCAGATGAATCCATTTGGATTTAGTGAATTTAGAGTATTTTTCTGAGGGTTTTCGTGAGAAAAATAGGAGCCAGAATGAGGATAATTGGGGGTGGTGGAGTGGTATATATGATGCTTTTTGGGCTCACCATCCTTCTGGTTGCACCCTACATTAGCCCCCACCATGGGCGGTTTAGGTGGTAGCATGTGGGGCAGCTGACCCCACAAAAGAAAACTTGACTTTTTTGGTTTTGTAATTTTTTTTTTTCAGGTTTGTTATGTGTGACGCTATGTGCACAAGCTCCCTCACAAAAGGACTGCATGCGATTTTTTTCATTGGACGTGGCCCCTACTGCGAGGGGATGTGGATAAGAATGTGTTTTGAAAGAATATATTTTGGAATAATAGATTGATAGAGAATGTATGATTAAAAAAGAAGAAAAAGTTATTGAAGTGATGAAAAATATTATTTATTGAAGAACATGTGATTGAAAATGAATAAAAGAATGAAAATAAAAATTTTAATGTGACTCAAACAGAGATTAAATAACAAAATCTTTTTTCTCTATCCTTTTCTTCTATGTGAATTAGGGTTGTTTCTTGGATAAGAATGAGTTTTTGATGAAATTTTAAATATCTTATGGCTTGATGGATGGATAGATACACCAAGTCCCTGTTTGAGCCACATTATTTTTTCTTTCTCATTCTTTTATTCATTTTCAACCATACATTTTTCAATGAAATAATATTTTTTATCACATCAATAACTTTTTCTTCTTTTTCACCACATATTTCTCATCATATCACTTCAAAAAAATGCATTATCTCATTTTAATGTGCACCAAACGGGCTCCAATATTGATTCCAAACTCATAGGTTCTCTCATCTCCTACATGTTAATTTTCTCTTACACTCTTTTTTCTTTATATTATATATAGCCCATATTTGAGTCACGTTATTTTTCTCATTCTCATTCTCCATACAAAATTTCGTTCACAGCTCACTATATTAGAAGAGTTGCATTTTCTTGAAATTTATGTGCTAAACATGTTATGAAAATATGATTGAAAAACGACAAATAATTGAATTAAGGTGTATTAGTTCATTCGGTTTAATAGATTAATATCATTTAAATTAATACCACAAAATATACATAACTTGTCATTCTAAAAATACAATACAACCCAATTAATTGGGACGACACGACATTCCCACAAATGAGTATTGGAAGAATTGCTTTTTTTTTTTTTTTTTTT